AAGGTTATGACGGCATTTACAGTTTCTGGGAAAGCGTTGTCTGATAAACATAAATGCGGTCGACGTGGTCAGCTGACTAAAAGGACATTGTGACCCGTAATAAGAAAACAACTGCTGCAAAAGTGACTGTAGAGCTCAATCTCAGTCTTCACAGAGCTTAAGCCACCTGGCCTTCAGGGCTAATGACTCAAGCTTAGACCTTTGGTCCCTTGGACCATTACACAGCACCTTCCTGCAACTCTGCCCCTCTTTCTGCTCTCTCTGGCTCTGTTTCACAGCTCCTTGTTGCTCTGGCTCACACTCTGACCAATGGACAGGGATCTCCTGTATTTCAGGTGGAACCTGAACTACTGTCAGCCCCTTGACTATAAAAGGTGTGCACACCAGCACATACACAGTTTGCTGCTGGTCACTGGTAAAACCTGAACACAAGACGAGAGGGTTCTGCCTCTCAAAGCTCTTCAAAGCCTCTGGACTCAATTACCCATTCCAGGAGTTATAAAATCTGGTGAAAAGTAAAAAAAAAAATAAAACCATTTTCTCTGCCCAGAACTTGAGAACCTTGCATGCCATTTATGTCTGTAGTCAGTGGCAGGGCCCATCACTGTTAGAGTCACTGACTGGCAGGATTGTGGGCAGTGCATATGTAACCAAGATTCTCACCTATATATGGCAAAGGGTTCCAGGATTTCTGTCTGTTATGGAGAAACAAACTCTCTGTTTTTACAATTCAGAGAAAACGAAACTCTGCACTGCAATGGTTGAATGCACATTTTTGTCTATGGTATAGGAGAGGGGTTTCCAAACATTCTAAACAAAGGGCTCATTTACTGACCTTTAGACTTTAGGGGGCTGGCCTGTGGCCCATGGGAGTAGAAAATGGTATCGGTGAAAATAGTGCTCCATCAAAGGTGTTAGTGGGAGAAATAGTTCCACGTCTTCATTGTCAGTGGGCGGAAACGTGACTTATGTCAGTTGAAGAAATAGTGTCCTAAGGTCCAGATAAAGCAAGCAAAGGATCGCATCCGACCCACAGGCCAGCAGTTTGGAGACCACTGGTATAGGAAAAAGCAGTTTTACTTAACTCATCCCCCATCCCACAGGCTCCCTCCAGGCTGTAAGACTAGCTTCTGCAGTCTCTTCTCCCTTACTCTCTGGCAGTTGCATGCCTTCTAACGTCATTAAGAACAATGCAGGGCCCATAGCCCATCTATGGATGTGAGGATGCTGAGGGACAATCCACAAGTGGGAGTGTAGGGAAATAGAGGAGCACCTGATGCTGGGGGATCAGGTAAGTACTGTCTAGACATACACTATATTGCCAAAAGTATTGGGACGCCTGCCTTTACACACACATGAACTTTAATGACATCCAAGTCTTAGTCCGTAGGGTTCAATATTGACTTAGCCCACCCTTTGCAGCTATAACAGCTTCAACTCTCCTGGGAAGGCTGTCCACAAGGTTTAGGAGTGTGTCTATGGGAATGTTTGACAATTCTTCCAGAAGCTCATTTGTGAGGTCAGGCACTGATGTCGGATGAGAAGGCCTGGCTCACAGTCTCCGCTCTAATTCATCTCAAAGGTGTTCTATCAGGTTGAAGTCAGGACTCTGTGCAGGCCAGTCAAGTTCCTCCACCCCCAACTCGCTCATCCATGTCTTTGTGGACCTTGCTTTGTGCACTGGTGTGCAGTCCTGTTGGAACAGGAAGGGGCCATCCCCAAACTGTTCCCACAAGGTTGGGAGCATGAAATTGTCCAAAATGTCTTGGTATGCTGACATCTTAAGAGTTCCCTTCACTGGAACTAAGGGCCAAGCCCAACCCCTGAAAAACAACCCCTCACCAGAAAGGGGATTTAAGTGACTTTGAATGTGGCATGGTTGTTCGTGCCAGATGGGCTGGTCTGAATATTTAAAAAACTGCTGATCTACTGGGATTTTCATGCACGAACATCTCTAGGATTTACAGAGAATGGTCTGAAAAAGAGAAAATATCCAGTGAGCGGCAGTTGTGTGGATGAAAATGCTGTGTTGATGTTAGAGGAGAATGGGCAGACTAATTCGAGATGAACAGAAACTCAAATAACTATTTGTTACAACCCAGATATACAGAACATCATCTCTGAACGCACAACACATCAAACCTTGAAGCAGATGGGCTACAGCAGCAGAAGACCACCCCGAGTGCCCATGTACCCATCTTCTGGTGGCTACTTCCAGCAGGATAATGCACCATGTCAAAAACCTCAAATCATCTCAAACTGTTTTCTTGAACATGACAATGAGTTCACTGTACTCCAATGGCCTCCACAGTCACCAGATCTCCATCCAATGAGCATCTTTGGGGTGTGGGGGAACTGGAGATTCGCATCATGGTTTTGCAACCAACAAATCTGTAGCAACTGAGTGATGCTATCATGTCAATTGGACTAAAATCCTGAGGAATGTTTCCGACACCTTATTGATTCTATGCCACAAATAATTAAGGCAGTTCTGAAGTCAAAAGGGGGTCCAACCCGGAGCTAGCAAGGTGTACCCAATATAGTGACCAGTGACCGTATGTGAAGTGCTGCATAAATTGACGATGCTATATAAGTACCTGTAATAAATAAAAAATAAATTTAGCTAATAGGTATCCCGTGAGACAGTGGGAGGGAGAAATACACATCATCCTTGCCTAGGCAAAGAACGAGGAAGTGGGAGCAATATATTTGTTATTGGTAAAAAAGAAACACTCTTAGCATTTTACTAAGGGGGAGAAGGAGGGAGGAGAGTAAGCTAAAATAAAACTGTCCCAAGTCCAGCTTCAAAGACAAATTGTACCAAAGGTACAGCCCAGCACAGTTACTTGTGGTCTGGGAGAGAGTCCTTGGCCCTGTGTAAGTCATTCTGGTTCGCTTCCTTCCTCAGCCTCATGGCGGCTAAACAAATTGTTTAAGGGGAAAGAACGTATCTTGAGTATGTGTTGCTTGAGAAGGGGGGATCCTGTTACTTTGCTATGCATGAAAAAAAAATCACAGGTTCAGTTTAGTATCTCCTCAATCACTCTGTGTTCTAGGCACAGCATTGAGGACACTTAGATGTGACAGCAAAATTGCATTAACAGACGCTTTCCATACTCCGATCCTCTTGTTCACACATGTTGTTTCACACTTAGAGAAGAGAAGGGTATAAAAGCCATGTGTCTTCATTTCATTCATTTATGCAGGCGATTGTATTGGTTTTGGGGGAATTTCAAGTCTGCACAGTACATTATATAATTAAATTTTTTGTTGTTCGGTTTCCATCAGAAAACCATGAAGAACCGTTCTCCGTCCCCCCCACTGCATGTCCATGTGGATGAGAGTACTCCCGTACATGTTCATATTAAAAAGGGAACAAAGTCTGCCTCCAAATTGCAGGTGAGTTGGTTATTTAAAGGAAGTTTGTTGGCGCCTCTGCTGAAGACAGTAGGCTGTGTGTGGATGACATCTGGAACAAGCACCCGGCAGCACTTCCAAGAGGCTCTGTGGGAGTATGAAAGAGGACAGAAAGGCACTTCTGTATCTGCAGTATTCCACTGTTTTTTTATTTATAAACGGTTAAAAACACTTACAGGATAATGGTGATCAATAAGCTCACCAGTGAAGTCTATGTGGGACTCCTGTCACTGTGGATCCTCTCTCATAGTGATGTGCCGACCAGCGGCTGTAGGGGGAGCAAAGAACACAGGTCCAACATGGCCACCGCTTTTCCGAATTGCCTGGCGGAACACACGCTTATATAATCACATAGTTAGTCAGGTTGAAAAAAGTCCATCTAGTTATAGAAAACCACTATTACAGAATTGGTGTTCCCACTGAATCATCTGTGTATCTGGATCATCAGTTGATCCAGAGGAAGGCAAAAAACCCAAATAAAGCGTGATCCAATTTGCTCTAGTGGTAGAAGAAAATTCCTTCCTGATCCCCCAAGAGGCAATCGGATATTCCCTGGATCAACCGTCTCTGGTGTTTTATTACCTATAAGTGTTAGTATCCAGTTATATTTTGTGTATTTAGGAATGCATTCAGCTCTTTAAACAATCTACTGGCCATAACTAGTTCTTGAGGGAGTCTAGTCCACATTTTCACAGCTCTTACTGTGAAGAAGCTTGTTGTTGTGCCCCATCACCATGCCTTCCACCAGACCAATAGGAGTGTGTGAAAGGTGGCTGACAAGTGCTTAAAGTTGTTATAAATGCTGAATGCATGAAGGTAAAAACACTTCAGTGTTCAGCTTCCCACCCATCCCCTGTAATACATATCTTGGTCCGTTCATGATCCAGCGCTGTGATCGAGAGTAAAGGCTCTCCCGGGTCTCTCTATCCTCACTGGCTGAGACACAGCAGTGGGAGTCATTGTCCCCTGCTGCTGTCAATTGAGGAGCAGCCAATGAGGAGGGAATGGGGGGGTGGGACCGAGCCACACTCTGTGTGTTCATTCAGCAGGGGGGAGGGGCCAGGAGCACCGAAGGGAGACCCAAGAAGAGAAGGATCAGGGCTTCTGTGTGCAATACCTTTACACAAAGCAGGTAAGTATAACATGCTTGTTATTAAAAAAATATAAAATGTGTGTGTGTACCTTTAATATCACTTTAAAGATTTGCCTGAAAGGAACTGTGCAGCCTTTACCATGGGGGTGCCAGTCATCAGTGAAGAAATGTAAGTAGCCTGCAGATGACTCTCCCTGATTCCATGTATAACTGAAATATCACCTTTGGATGGACAGTTCCTTTTAGTTTTGAACATTGTGCAATGAAAGGTTTCTTCCTCTGTTTCAGCTGAGCACCCCTTTTTGTAAACCATTTCACTTCAGAACAATAAAGTGTAGACGTCTGTACTTACATTGTAAAGATGCAGATGAATCTGACCTAACAAATTCATTGGCTTATGTGTCTGACTAGAAAGGGCCCAGAAGCAAAGTGAAAAGCGATCTTGGGAATCTTCGGCGGAGCGTTAAGGTGAAGACTAGGGTGCCATGGATTCCTCCAGGAAAAACCTCTGTGCGGGATGCTGGATTCAAATGGGAGGTAAGTGGTCCTTTCACCCAGGGATAGAATATTTACAATGATGTTTAAAGTGGTCATAAAGGCTAAATTTTTTCTTTCCTAAAATAAAAAAGAAGTAATACTTACCTGCTCTGTGCAATGGTATTGTGCAGAATGGCCCCTTACCTCCTCTTCTGGGGACCCGCCAGTGCTGTCCAATCATCCTCTTTTGCTAGTACCCCATAGAAAACTGGCTGCTACGGAGGCACTCGTGAAGGCACGCTCTTGAGCTGGGCTGTGTGCATCCGTAGACACACACACAGCACTGGTCAGCCCTGACAGCAGCAGGAGCCAATGACTTATACTGCTGCCTCTGTGTCCTGTGAGAAGAGGATGAGAGGAATGTGCCAGAAGACAGGCTCAGCGCTGGATTGAGAAAGGTGGGGGGAGCAATATAACTACAGGGACATTTTTTACCCTAATGTAGGGAATGCAATAAGGTAAAAAAAAAGTCTTGACTTTAGAACCAGAAACTAATCTATTGTTGTGGAGATAAGAGGGGGAAGTGGCCTGTAGTCCTGTCCCAGGGTAACAACACCACTCCTCCATAAAATACTGTACAGTGAATAAGCAATATTAGTATGGGTGTGTTACTGGCAGGATCACCAAATGAAAAGAAAGGGAAAAAAAGCCTGCAAGGAAACACTAGTGCAGCCATCACATGTAAGGGCTGGTAAGCTGCAATATATTTTATTTGTATTCTTGAGTTTAGATGCTATTTAAAAGACAGATGCAGGGGAATAAAAAGGCTTATCCTTGGCTCCCTAATCTAACCTGGAACCCCCCCCCCCCCCCCCCCCCCCCCCCAAGTACTTACTTACCACGTCATGACGGCGATGGCTGTTTACTTCTTTGAGCCCAAAATCATTTTTGGCACTGTTTCGGCTTGGGCAAGAACTCCCCAAAGATTTGAATAAGACTTTGCTTCTAACATCTCTAGTATTACGTTCTGCCTCATTCATGTTACTGCACAAGAGTGAAGATTTCAGATCCAAGGATATAGTCATTTTATGTAGTTACATATGTTATAAGGTGGAAAATTATACTGGTCCATCCAGTTAGACCTGTGTGTGATTTTTATTCACTAACAATTCCCATAGCTCTGTATATTCTGCTCCTGAGGAACACTGCAAAAAGTTTTTTTGACGTTGTCAGCACTCTTCCTGGTGAAAGGAGATTCACAGTTTACTGCTTGAACAGTATAGAACTGTTTATCATTATATTATTATACAGGATTTATATAGTGCCAGTAGTTTATATCAGGGGCCGACTGACAACTCATGGGGCCCCCGGGCAATAGGGGATCATGGGCCCCTGTGTCCTTGCCCAAACTCAAAAAAGCCTATGAAAAAGGTACCAGGGGCATCTCATGGGGCCCCCTACTGACCCCGGGCCCTCGGGCAGTGCCCGAGTTTCCAAATGGTCAGTCCACCCCTGGTTTATATATAGCCAATAGCGACAATACAGCAACAATACAGTTCAATACAAGAGGGATAGGAGGGCCCTGCTCTTTGGAGCTTACGCAATCTAACCTCAGGATACGTTTCTTCTTCAGAAAGAATGCCTTTCTTCTAACCTCAAATTGTGGCTGCATGTCCTCTTTAGGGATTTTATAGACTAACACAAAGTGGCACATAATTGTGAAATGGAAGGAAATTGAGAAATGGTTTTCAAAATTTTTTACAAATATCTGAAAAGTGTGGCGTGCATTTGTATTCAGCCCCCCTTTACTCTGATACCCCTAACTAAAATCTAGTGGGACCAATTGCCTTCCGAAGTCACCTAATTAGTAAATAGAGTCCACCTGTGTGTCATTTAATCTCAGTATAAATACAGCTGTTCTGTGAAGCCCTCAGAGGTTTGTTAGAGAACATTAGTGAACAAACAGCATGAAGGCCAAGGAACACACCAGACAGGTCAGGGATAAAGTTGTGGATAAGTTTAAAGCAGGGTTAGGTTATAAAAAAAAAATATCCCAAGCTTTGAACATCCCACAGAGCACTGTTCAATCCATCATTCAAACATGGAAAGTGTATGGCATAACCACAAACCTACCAAGACATGGCCGTCGACCTAAACTGACAGGTCGGGCAAGGAGAGCATTAATCAGAGAAGCAGCCAAGAGGCCCATGGGAACTCTGGAGGAGCTGCAGAGATCCACAGCTCAGGTGGGAGTATCTGTCCACAGGACAACTATTAGTCATGCACTCCACAAATCTGTCCTTTATGGAAGAGTGGCAAGAAGAAACCCATTGTTGAAAGAAAGCCATAAGAAGTCCCGTTTGAAAACCATTTATCATTTTCCTTCCACTTCACAATTATGTGCCACTTTCTTTTGGTCAATCACATAAAATCCCAATAAACTACATTTTACGTTTTTGGTTGTAACACGACAAAATGTGGAAAATTTCAAGGGGTATGAATACTTTTTCAAGGCACTGTAAAAATACTCCCAAGACCCTATCCTATTGATTCTCTCGGGGTAGCCTGGCGGCACCCAAGGGCATAAATACATTTTTCAATATTGAACCTCATATGCCCTGTAGCTGCCCAGCCCCCTATTTTATCAGGTTCTTCCTGTAATGATGATACATCCTGTGCCAAAGTTATTTCCCGGCATATTTTGGCTTCATCAGCAAACACTGCAATCAAGCTCTTGATTCTAACCTCTATATCATAAATAAATAAATACAATGGCCCCAAGACAGAACCCTGCGGCTTACAAATTCAGACCATTCAGAGAATGAGTAATTTATCACTTCTCTCTGGACCTATTTATGTAACCAGAGTACTATCCATCCACATATAATTTCATCAGCTCTAACACCTTATTTTATAGAATAAACATTTATGAGGATAATCAAATATACAGTTTTAAATGCCTTCGCAAAATCTAAATAAACTACTGTTTGTCCACTGGGCTTCTAGCATCCAGTTCTTCACTTACTTCCTCAAGGAATGATAACCGGTTGGTCTGACATGATGCTGGGTGTCTTCCAGCCAAGAAAAGCTGTGGGATCATTCTGTCTTGCTGCAACTTCTACTACAGTGCGAGAAGGTCCCAGTGTACAATGAAATTAGAGTAAGCAATTTCAGTACAGGAGAGGAGTCTGGAGTTCAGCTTTTAAGGCTACGTTTACTATTAACCACTTGCCTACTGGGCTCTTTCACCCCCTTCCTGCCCAGGCCGATTTTCAGCTTTCCGTGCTGTCGCACTTTGAATGACAATTACTCGGTCATGCAACACTGTACCCATATGAAATTTTTATAATTGTTTTGAGACAGAGCTTTGTTTTGGTGGTATTTAATCACCACTGGGGTTTTTATTTTTTGATAAACAAATCAAAAACTGAAAATTTTGAAAAAAAAAGTTTTTTTTTTAGTTTATGTTATAAAATTTTGTAAATTAGTAATTTCTCTCCTTCATTGATGTGTGCTAATAAGGCTGCAGTGATGAGACACTGGTAGGTGGCACTGATGGCGATTGACAGGCATCACTGGTGGGCATTCACAGACATCACTGATGGGCACTGAAAGGCAGAACTCATATATGGCACTGATAGGCAGCACAGACTGGCACTGATAGGCGGCCCTGATAGATGGTACTGATTGGCAGCACTCATAGGCGGCACTGATAGTTGGCACTCAAAGGCAGCTTAGATGGGCACTGAAAGGTGGCATTGATGGGCACTGACAGGTGGCACTGATGGGGCTACACTGATCATCAGTTCCCTGATGATTAGTGTAGATGTCCCCTCTGAGGAATGCCAATTACCGGCTCTCCTCTCCTAACGAGCTGTCAGCGTGACAGCTCGTGAGGAGCAAAATGCCGATAACCGGCATTTCCTTATTTACATGTGATCAACTGTGATTGGACACAGCTGATCACGTGGCACAGCCGAAGTCATCAGCTCTTTCCACTGATTGGTGATCCCTGTGTCCCAGGGACACAGCGCACCACCAATCGCCGCATTGCACACCCTCTGGGGCGCGCACGCGCGTTTACAGTGGGTGGACATCACATGATGTCCTCCCAGAAGGAGAGAACCACGTTACGGCTGTCATTTCCTTATATTGGGGGAGGGAGGCGGTTAAGTAAAAAAATTAATAAATGCACAAATTTTTGCATTTATTATTTTTTCCCCACAAAGTATTGCACGCATGATCAGTGGATTGCGGGTGTAATGTCAGGCACCTGCACACTCTCCCTCCAGCTTTCTGTCCATACCTCTGTTTGGACTTTTAGATACAAAATTTTGAGGAAGTGTGAATGAACTCTGAGCACACTGAGCAGTGCACTTGTAGGCCATTGAGAACTACAAGCTGTCTGCTGCGGTGGAAGATGGGACTTGTAGTTTATTCATTGATCCCTGTGTATGAATAACGTGGCTGTGTGGCAAAAGCCTCATGCAACAATGCCAATTTTAAATGTGACAGAGGCTGGAGGAGAGAAACCCCTGCCCGCTGTCATCGGTTGGGGGAGGCTTTATTTACATTTTTCAATATCCTTTATAATCTAAAAAACAAGTTCTTAATTTCTCTACTAGGGTTCAACCCATCGCTTGGAGATAACCCCTCCTGATATGGAAAAGATGATGTCAGCATTGCGCATGAGTGACCTGTCCACAGATGAGGAAGAGGTTTTGCGCAGCAAGATCAACTCCTACGAAAAGAAGATCGACAGTTTGATGTGTGAAGTTGGGACGCTGAAGAACGAGGTGAGAGGACTGGCTAGTTCTCTGTCTATTGCAGCAGAGACGGAAGTAAAGATGGATGGGGGATAAACTTGTCTACTTACCCCCAGGTGGAGCTAAAGAAAAGGGACAACTCCATTGAGCGATATGAAGCACAGTTGGAAGCCTCCAAGCGATTGTTGAACGCCAAGAGTGAAGTACTCCATGAGGTATCACAGGAACTGGTTGAGACAGAGAATGAAAACACTCGTCTGAAGAGAAGCATTGACCGCATCAAGGAAGAAACAGACTTTAGTTTGTAGGTGTCCACATTGTTAGGTGATCTTCAGTAGTATGATAAAAGTCAGCTTATTCCAGACAAAGGCACTTCTGACCCATGTGAAATGGCTGTGCTACTTGGACTATTCCCTAATTCTCCTTTTTTTTGTACAAGTGTTTTGGTGAATAGAAATTCTCACAGTATTTGAGAAGAGCCGGCACAGAGCTGGGTTGAGGTAGTCATATGTATTACGGAGGAGCACTGGTAACACTGATTTCTTGGTAGCAATATTGGTGACCACTGGTTGCTGCATCCAGCTCCTTTTCCTTTCGGGACTGGTAACAGACACAAATTCTGACACATCTGTTGTTATACTATTGAAAACACCTAAAGCCCAACTCTAGCAGTTCTATATACACTGTGCTGGATCCTCTTCTCCTCCACATTGAATACACTGTGAACATAGCGTATGGCTCTTGAATCATGATGGCTGCACATTTTTTCCCAGAACTTCCTGATATGGAAACCTAGATTTGGTTTTGTGGAGTCAAATCCTCCAGGAGAATAATGCTTCTGAGCCATTATGGACTCCTTGCCACAATTCCCTGTTCGTGTATGCATACAGTTGCAAGAAAAAGTATGTGAACCCCTTGGGATTATGTGGAGTTTTGTATGAATTGGGCATAAAATGTGCTCTGAACATCATCTAAGTCACAACAATAGAAGAACACAGTCTGCTGAACATAATACTACACAAACATTAGATGTTGCCATGGTTTAATTGCACATGACTTGTAAACATTCACAGTGCAGGGAGGAAAAAGTATGTGAACCTTTGGACTTAATAACTGATTGACCCTCCTTTGGCAGCAATAACCTCAACCAAACGTTTCCTGTAGTTGCAGATCAGACCTGCACAACGATCTGGAGTAATTTTGGACCACTCCTCTTCACAAAACTGTTTCAGTGTAGCAATATTCTTGGGATGTCTGGTGTGAATCGCTCTCTTAAGGTCATGCCACAGCATTTCAATCGGGTTGAGGTCAGGACTCTGACTGGGCCACTCCAGAAGGCGTATTCTGTGCTGTTGCAGCCATTGTTTTGTTGAATTACTTGTATGCTTTGGGTCATTGTCCTGTTGCATCACCCATCCTCTGCAGAGCTTCAGTTGGCGGACAGATGGTCGTACGTTTTCCTGCAAAATGTCTTGATAAACTCTGGAATTCATTTTCCCATCAATGACAACAATCCGTCCAGGCCCTGAGGCAGCAAAGCAGCCCCAAACTATGATACTCCCTCCGCCATGTTTTACAGTGGGGATGAGGTTTTGATGTTGGTGTGCTGTGCCTTTTTTTCTCCGCACATAGTGTTGTGTGTTCTTCCCAAACAACTCAATCTTGGTTTCATCTGTCCACAGTATATTTTGCCAGTAGTGCTGTGGAACATCCAGGTGCTCTTTTGCAAATTTCAAACGTGCTGCAATATTCTTTTTGGACAGCAATGGCTTCCTCCGTGGTGTCCTCCCATGTACTCCATTCTTGTTTAATGTTTTCCTTATTGTAGATGTGTCAACAAAAATGTTAGCATGTGCCAGAGATTTCTGTAGGTCTTTAGCTGACACTCTGGGATTCTTCTTTACCTCATGCAGCATTCTGCGCTGTGCTCTTGCAGTCATTTTTACAGGACGACCACGCCTAGGGAGAGTAGCAACAGTGCTAAACTTTCTCCATTTGTAGACAGTCTGTCTTACCGTGGACACATGAACATCAAGGCTTTTGGAGATACTTTTGTAACCCTTTCCAGCTTTATGCAAGTCAACAATTCTTGATCGTAGGTCTTCTGAGAGCTCTTTTCTGCGAGGCATGGTTCACATCAGACAGTGCTTCTTGAAACCAGTAAACCCAAAACAGGTGTGTGTTTTTTAAGGGCAGGACAGCTGTCAGCAACACATCCAATATCATCACACTGATTGGAGTCAAGGTTGGCTCACTCCTGGCTCCAATTAGCTCTGGGAAAAGTCATTAAGCTAGGGCCTCACATACTTTTTCCTCCCTGCACTGTGAATGTTTACATGTTATGTGCAATTAAACCATGGCAACATCTAGTGTTTGTGTAGTATTATGTTCAGCAGACTGTGTTCTTCTATTGTTGTGACTTAGATGATGTTCAGAGCACATTTTATGCCCAATTCATGCAAAACTCCACGTAATCCCAAGGGGTTCACATACTTTTTCTTGCAACTGTAGGGGCCTTCCTATAGAGAAAGCATATGAGTGTTCAGTCAATTACATTTTTGTTAAGTCAAGATTTAAGCTCATTTTTTTATTTAACATCATTTATGCAAAACATGTAAAATAATGTTTTAATACAGAATGTTTCCATGACACTTTTGTTAGAAAGCCCATCATTGCCAGCACACTTGTTGACAGCTTGTGAATAACTAAAGCTGGGTACCAGCGGGCTGAGCATGCTATTGTATTCAGCAGTCAGAACAGACTGATCAGCACTGCAGCAGTCAGAACAGACTGATCAGCACTGCAGCAGTCAGAACAGACTGATCAGCACTGCAGCAGTCAGAATAGACTGATCAGCACTGCAGCAGTCAGAATAGACTGATCAGCACTGCAGCAGTCAGAACAGACTGATCAGCACTGCAGCAGTCAGAACAGACTGATCAGCACTGCAGCAGTCAGAACAGACTGATCAGCACTGCAGCAGTCAGAACAGACTGATCAGCACTGCAGCAGTCAGAACAGACTGATCAGCACTGCAGCAGTCAGAACAGACTGATCAGCACTGCAGCAGTCAGAACAGACTGATCAGCACTGCAGCAGTCAGAACAGACTGATCAGCACTGCAGCAGTCAGAACAGACTGATCAGCACTGCAGCAGTCAGAACAGACTGATCATCAGCACTGCAGCAGTCAGAACAGACTGATCAGCACTGCAGCAGTCAGAATAGACTGATCAGCACTGCAGCAGTCAGAATAGACTGCTCCAAGCAGCTGATCGAATAAGGTTTTCCAGTGGGACGGTTCAACAGAAGCTGGTCTAACAAGCTACTTCTGTCGAACAGAGAGGGCTACACACAGATCAAAATTCATCTGGTGCCTGCTGAAATAGGCGCATTTCAATCTGTGTGTTTGACCGAGGGTTTGACTCTGCTTTTTGTCCTTGCCCTGATTTATTCTGATAGTATATTCTATAGTATGTATAATCTGCTCTCTTCAGCTATTCAAGTTTATTTTAACTGTAGACACAGTCCCTGCTGTCAGAATTCAATAGTGGGAGAGATCCCTGCATCCACATTGTGTAGATGCAAGGTTTTTTTTAGTTTTTTTTTTTTTTTTTTTTGTTACATTCAGCCTGCTGCTGTAATATGTATACCCAGCTTTACTCTCTCTACTAAAAAGCAAAAATAATAGTAAGTTGGCTTTGCGTACACATGAATAGATATCCTGCCTTTCTACTTTGTCCAGAAATAGACCACCTTTACAGTTGACTAGATAACTAGTTATTGTATAATTGAATATACATTGACTTTAAGGAGGCAAAAACAGCTGCTGCAGCAAGAAAAGTCTCATCTGCTTGCCAAGCTGGTGGAAGCAGAGATGGATGGGGCAGAAGCAGCAAGACAAGTGAACCTGCTTCGGGACACCATCACTCAGATGAAGCAGGTCAGTGACTTGCATAGTAGTAGACCAGAGTTTAGCTATTTTGTCTGATGGCTTCATCTGTGATCATCTCTGTCTTTTGCAGGAGAAGAGACTGAACACCACAGACATGAACATCCTCACCCGACAGAAGGAAGTATTATTGGAAAAGCTGAACACGTTCGAAGAGACCAACAGAACCCTGAGGATTCTTCTCAGGGAGCAGCACAGCCGAGAGGTGAGGTCTAACCTGATTAATGGAAACCTGTGGAGGGAAACATACCCTGGTTCACATTGCTGGCTTCTGAAAATGATAGTTGTCTACCTGTCAAGCAGATTCTGGCTGCATACTTGTTTTAAGTCAGTGACTCACAAATTATTGAATCCAAAGGATCCGCATCACAGCCAGGCACCTAACATTTTCAAAGGAGGTCAGCAATGGACAACCACATATTTCTCACATTTTTCTCATTACCCATTTAATCATAATTTATTAAATAATTACAGCACAATAATGTATAGCAGGCCTAATATATACTTAGACTATGCTCTTTTATTTGATAATAGATGTTGCTATAATTCTAGGAACATGTAGGGATTCTGTAGCAAAAACTGAAAAATTCAACTGGCTCTGCTACACAGTGTTACATTGTATAATGCTGTAGTGTTCTGAAATAGAAGCCCAGAATGGACAATTTATGTAATTTGATGATTTGTTCACTTTCCATGGTTGTGTTATCATTGTGTGAAGCAGTACAAGCAGAACATAAACTCATTGACTGTCAGGTGTAGTGCTAAAAGGGACGCTAATGGGTGAAGAACATAACTCTCGCTATAACTTGTATTACCTAGCATTGTATACAGAGTGATTTTTATATTTTAGCGTCCTGGCGCTCTTAAAGCAGAACTCAAGGCAATGGCAAGCCAAATACATGGCTGATATACTGTATGTGACCTGTTTTTTTACCTGTCAAAATATTTGTAATGGCCTGTGTAAACGGCAGTTTAACATCAGTTTAAGATGCTTATGAGATCATTCAGAATTCACTGACAGATGCATCTGATCTGCAGTTGACCTCTTTCTGACCTGCTATTCACCTACGTCAAGCAGGTTTTGTATTCCCATACACTTGCATGAGAAGGCAAAACCTGTTCCAAGGGGGGCAAAAAGCCTGTTGGCACAGGCCCCAAATGTGGCTAGTCTGTAATATAATCTTGCATCACATTCCCAAGAACATAAGCAGGTCAGTGAACTCCGTTGTCTTCACTGCATTCAAGTAGTACAGCTTGGTCACCAGTTCACCCTAGCCTGTCAATTGGGCAATAAAGGAGTCATCACTCTACTGTCCACTCCTGCCAGCAAGTTCCCAGTGTTAGCTATTCAGTCTTTACTGCATTGCATAATTTTGATACTCTAAAATTTCTGCCCGTACCTCTGCCAGTCTGTTTCCTGTTATGCAGAATGATACAGGAAACTAAAGTAATGGCAGATTCAGATACCAGTATAAACAGTATATATAAAATACACTTGCAGTTCAATTCTAAGCAGGGAAATAACCATCAATGTAGCTATGTGTTCACTGGGAAATCAGTAAGTGTTTTTTCCATTCCATCTACTGTGACTGAATTTGTCTTTATATCACTTTATATTACTTCCTAATCGTCTGCTCAGTAGCCTGGGTCAGGTAGTGTCCCCCAATTAGTAGCCAATTAGTGATGAGTTTGGCCACCTAAGGCTATTCTTTATTGCAACTTGGATAAGTAACCGAGACAATGGAGAGGATTGTTCAATATGATTCCATGGTTTCCTTTTATTTTACAGACAGAAACCCACCGGCTGTTGGAGCAGAAAGAGCTATTCCTGAAGAAGCTGTCTGATGCTGACACAGAGAGAGCTGTATGTGTGATGTGATGAACAGCGGTATTGATTTATAACCTAAATCATTTTCCATCTCCTATATTTTGGGCCCGCACTCAACTATCTGCCTTTACCGAGACCTGGAACTGCACTTCCAGCTGTCACCTGCTGGTAATGTCTGGTACTGTGGCTGCTCCAGTTTGATTATTTGAAGGAAAACTGCTCTGAAACTATACAGTATACTGGATGTCATTGCTAAACTCTCCTTTTGAACACTCTGGTTGCTGGCTGTTTTGATGATCCAGTAGCCTCAATGGCTTGAGTCGCTGACCTGGAAGTATGCAGATCAGTTCTGACTTTTCTCGGTTTCATTATCCGCATAATTGTTCCAGGTAAGTGACTCAAAGTATGAGTTGATGGCCAAGCAACTAGCATTTTCAGAAGGAGGCCAGCAGTGGCAGAATCTGTATTTCCCTCAGTATAGATTCCCTGTGGTAGATATTTAAAAGTGCCATGTTTGGGGTCTTGAATGGTCACCAGCTAAATGCGGAACTCCAGACTAACAACTAAATTCATGATTTAAATATGTATTGAGTGTGAAACGTTTTAGCTTTCTATTGATTTTGTAATTCAGCCAGTCCTGTAGTTCACACACCTCTGCAACAATGAAAAGCTACTATGCTATTCACTCATCACTGTTTAAGCTACCTTACTGTGGAATGCATTGAAATGCAGGTCCTCCTGCAGCTGGTCTTTCCCCATTACTGCCTTGTTCTGCACTCTGTGGAGGCAGCCATCTTGGTTGAAGCAGGGCTTTGGATGAACAGTGAGAAGCACTGTTGTGACCTCACCAAATCTCACTCCAAGTTTCCTGAGACTAGCAGTAAGAGGCGACAGTCCGATGTATCTATAAGGCTGTAGCCCCTCCAGGAAGTGCACTGCTGTTTTTTAGAAGCAATTCCAGACAAGAATTTTTTCTTTGGTGTACCTTTTAAGGCACAATTACATTTCCAGATGTTTCCTATATCATAGTAAATCTTCACTTTTGAGTTCAGGTTCACTTTAATAAGGCAGCACAAAGGACAATGATGATGTGCAAAAGGCATGAACTTGAAGAGTCAGATCTCTTCTTTTCACAAATTAGTGCCTATTTGCTGTCCATTATGGACTATGGTCTATTATGCCAACTCTGGGAAATTGTATTTTTTATTTAAAAAGATGTTTTTAGCCACTGGTTGTCATTGGGGACATACTGTGAAGGTCAAACAAAAAAACAAAAATACATCTGTATGATTCCCAAAGCAATTATAAAACTGCAGGCGTCACTTTGTGTTCCCACAAAGGTAAAGTCAGTGCATAGATTAGAAAAGGATACCATGCTATAGATAAACTTAAAGTGTTACTAAACCCTCCACATTGTGTAAAAAGGATGTTTGATCCTGTCTTCTCTGATCCTCCCCTTCTACTGTCCCTAATATATCTCCTGATAGAACAGAGACTCTGGGGCAAGCTGCACAAGCTCAGTTTGGTGTGTATTGCTAGAGTTTTTTTTGTTTTTTTTTTTTCTTGGGAGAGTGTATGTGATCAGCACAGGGCCAATCAGCACTGTCCAGGTGTCCTGTAGCCTCATAGGGGAGAATGAAAACTCCTCCTACAAGCTTAACCAGTGCTCTGCTGGACTCTGATAGAAGTAACAAGACTGCTTTAACTGCTGATGAGAAAAAGGTATTTAGCAGTTTTATATTTACTAAAATAATTACATTTCCATGTTGTGTGTACTGTGGGAGACCAGATATAGTGAATGCAGTCCATAGACACAGATGGCTGGGCTTTGTCCCGCCCCCTGCTCCCTCATCATAGGATTTGATTAACAGCAGCAGGAGCCAATGGCTCCCACTGCCTTCAGTCTGTCCTGTGAGGAGGGAGACAGCGGAGAGATACGCTGCTTTCATGCACATTGCTGGATCGAGATCGGGCTCAGGTAAGTATGCTTTAATAAATGTGCAAACCAGGGACGGACTGACCATTCGAGCACTAGGGCACTGCCCGAGGGCCCCGGGTCGGTAGGGGGCCCCATGAGATGCCCCTGGTACCTTTCATTAGCTTTTTCATAGTCTTTTTGGGTATGGGCAAGAACACAGGGGTCCCATGATCCCCTATTGCCCGGGGCCCCATGAGTTGTCAGTCCGCCCCTGGTGCAAACTCATTCTCTAATCTATAAACATGAAGTGCATAAAGTACTTAATGTGCAAACTCATTAACTAATAAATGTAAAACACATAAAGTGCATTTGATCATAGATGAATAAAAAGCGCGATCTAACCAAAAATAAATACCATATAGCTTATCAAAACACATGAATAAAATGTCCACACATACAGTCAGGTCCATAAACATCGACACAATTCTAACATTTTTGGCTCTATACACCACCACAATGCATTTGAAATGAAACAAACAAGATGTGCTTTAACTTCAGACAGTCAGCTTTACTTTGAGGGTATTTACATCCAAATCAGGTGAACGGTGTAGGAATTACAACAATTTGCATATGTGCCTCCCACTTGCTAAGGGGCCAAAAGTAATGGGACAGAATAATAATCATAAATCTAAATTTCACTTTTTAATACTTGGTTGCATATCCTTTGCAGTCAATTACAGCCTGAAGTCTGGAACACATAGACATCACCAGACGCTGGGTTTCATCCCTGTTGATGCTCTGCCAGGCCTCTACTGCAACTGTCTTCAGTTCCTGCTTGTTCGTGGGGCATTTTCCTTTCAGTTTTGTCTTCAGCAAGTGAAATGCATGCTCAATCGGATTCAGGTCAGGTGATTGACTTGGCCATTGCAGAACATTCCACTTCTTTCCCTTAAACTCTTTGGTTGCTTTTGCAGTATGCTTTGGGTCATTGTCCATCTGCACTGTGAAGCGTCCAATGAGTTGTGAAGCATTTGGCTGAATATGAGCAGATAATATTGCCCGAAACACTTCAGAATTCATCCGGCTGCTTTTGTCAGCAGTCACATCAATAAATACAAGAGAACCAGTTCCATTGGCAGCCATACATGCCCACGCCATGACACTACCACCACCATGCTTCACTGATGAGGTGGTATGCTTAGGATCATGAGCAGATCCTTTCCTTCTCCATACTCTTCTCTTCCCATCACTCTGGTACAAGTTGATCTTGGTCTCATCTGTCCATAGGATGTTGTTCCAGAACTGTGAAGGCTTTTTTAGATGTCGTTTGGCAAACTCTAATCTGGCCTTCCTGTTTTTGAGGCTCACCAATGGTTTACATCTTGTGGTGAACCCTCTATATTCACTCTGGTGAAGTCTTCTCTTGATTGTTGACTTTGACACACATACACCTACCTCCTGGAGAGTGTTCTTGATCTGGCCAACTGTTGTGAAGGGTGTTTTCTTCACCAGGGAAAGAATTCTTCGGTCATCCAACACAGTTGTTTTCGGTGGTCTTCCGGGTCTTTTGGTGTTGCTGAGCTCACCGATGCGTTCCTTCTTTTTAAGAATGTTTCAAACAGTTGTTTTGGCCACGCCTAATGTTTTTGCTATCTCTCTGATGGCTTTGTTTTGTTTTTTTTTCAGCCTAATGATGGCTTGCTTCACTGATAGTGACAGCTCTGTGGATCTCATCTTGAGAGTTGACAGCAACAGATTCCAAATGCAAATAGCACACTTGAAATGAACTCTGGACCTTTTATCTGCTCATTGTAATTGGGATAATGAGGGAATAACACACACCTGGCCATGGAACAGCTGAGAAGCCAATTGTCCCATTACTTTGGGTCCCCTAACAAGTGGGAGGCACATATGCAAACTGTTGTAATTCCTACACCGTTCACCTGATTTGGATGTAAATACCCTCAAATTAAAGCTGACAGTCTGCAGTTAAAGCACATCTTGTTCGTTTCATTTCAAATCCATTGTGGTGGTGTATAGAGCCAAAAATGTTAGAATTGTGTCGATGTCCCAATATTTATGGACCTGACTGTATGTGTTAATACTCTCAGGTCACAGGCTTTTGTGTAAATTTATCCACGTGTACACCACCATGATACATCAAAACACACGTGGTTTAAAGCACTTGTTTGGACCTTTTATTCATATGTTTTGATATGCTATATGGTTTTGAAGGATAAGTTCACTTTTGGGAACATGTTACAGGAGACCTGCCTGAGACCTCTGCAGGAGACCTGCCTGGCATCCGTGATCTACTGATCGCTGGTGCAATGCTTTCTAGGCTCCTGTAGACAAAAATAATAAATGCACTTTTTTTTTTTTACCTGCACTATAAGCACACATTTAATTTTGGATAAATCGTTCTTTTTATTCATCTATGATCGAATGTACTTTATGATCAAATGCACTTTATGTATTTTACATTTATTTACCAGTGAATGAGTTTGCACATACATAAACCACTTTATGAATTTCATATTTATTGATTAGAGAATGAGTGTGCACATATATTGAGTTTATCCATAGCGCAGCATCCTTTTTTCATCTATTCTGTGAAGGTGTCATGCAGGTGTCAGCCTCTGAAGAGTGATACCACAGCACCATGATTTCAGTGTAATGATGCTGAGAGTGACTCATTTTTGAGTACAGTTCAAGGCCATGAGGAGATACAAAGAGGATTCAAAGTTCATCTAGAAGGATGAGTTTAAAAAGCAGAACATATGTACAGGGTCATTAGGGGGGTTAGGGGGTTCCCTGGGGAGATAGCATGGAGTTGCCTCATGTCTTATCTAATAAATAAATTGTTAGGTGATCTTATATTTTTGAACTAGATAAAATATCAATGCTGGCCACACACATTTTAAAGTTGTTGTAAAGGCTAAAGGTTTTTTTTTTTTTTTACCTGAATGCATTCTCTGTACTAAAATAAAAAACCTTACAACAGCTGTGCCCTTCAGCTCCCCTCCTAAGACTTGCCTGAGTCCTGTATTGATCCAGTGCTGTGCTCAACTCCAACTTCTCTCTCCCCTCTCGCTGCTCTTACCGGCTTGGTTAAGAGCAGTGGAAGCCATTAGCTCTTGCTGCTGTCAGTCAAATCTGGAGAGGAAGATGGGGGGCAGGGCTGAGGCACACAGTGTGTATCAATAGATATCAAGCCCGAAGGTGTGCCACCATAGGAAGCGGCTTCCTATGGTGGCACACTGAGAAGGGGAAGAGCCAAGAGTGCAGGCAGAGGACCCCATACGAGGAGGTTTACACAGAGCAGGTAAGTATAAACCTGTTTGTTAATAAAACATGAGCATTTTACAACCACTTTAATTTTGCTGTGGTTCTTTAATAATTGCAACCTTTAAATATGTTTCTCAAAAAGGATCTCTGGACTTGACATGTTGTCCTGGTTTTCTCTGCGACTTGACTGTCTCTGCCTGAATTAAAACACAAAATTTGACTAGTGGGTTGTTTAGAATTTTTTTTTTTTCTTCTTTTTATTTCAATGGGTCAGTAATCACTTAACCCCACTGATTTTAATAGGTTTGATGAAAAATGTGATTCTATTCCAAGGTATGATTTATGATATCAGTACATGTGAGGCCAGCTTACCGAACATTGACAAACTATAAACTTGCAGCAGCATCCTCTGTGTTCTAATTCGTTATATTTTTGGTTATTCAGCATCTCCAACTGAGGCTTCATGAGCGAGACAAAGAGATTGAAGATCTGCGGGTTCAGCTGCAGACAGAAAAGGTATGCAAAACATTGTTTTACAGAACTCTAAAACATTTTTTTGTTATCATTTTTATATTCTTTGATAATGTTTGTTCTTCCATAGGATCTAGCTAGAACATCCACTGAATATTCTAAGTCTTTAGAAACCACAAGAGCTCACTTACAAGGGCAGCTGAGGAGCCGTGAGGCTGAGAATAACCGCCTTTCTGTTCAGCTCAGGGTAAGAATATATTTTTTCAGGCATGATACTTAATGTATGTCTGGATAAAATGTTTACCTAGTTTTTGGATAGAGCGGGGAAGGATTAGAACCCCTGTCAGATTTTTACTGCTGTCGAGGTCTCTGTTAGAGAGAGAGTTCTCCTCCCTTCCTGTCCTACTGACAATGTTTTGCCAGAGAGTAAGGGGGAACTAAAGTAGGGGAAGGCTAGAGCACCTTATGTCAGTAAAACCATTGTCAGCAGGACAGTACGTGAATGTAAATATCTCATAACAGAGTCCCGGACAGCTGTAAAAATCCAACAGCATTTCTAATCCTTCCCCACTCCATCCAAAACTAGAAAAAAAATAGTTTGTGGCTTGATATAAAGTTTAGAGCTTAACTCATGACAAACATAAAAGACACAAATTGATGCAATCTGTAGTTATTAAACATTTCTAATTATTTTTTTCTTAAATACAAGCAGTGTAAGTACCTGAAAACATCGTGTCAGAAACCTGTAATCCTCTGTACTGAGCTCAGACTGAGAGAGAGAGAGGAGCTGCACAATTGATGTACTGTTGTGCTCATATGTTAACCACATTCCCGCCACCCTATAGCAGATATACTGCTACAGGGCAGTAAGGGTGTGCAAAATCACGTGTATATATACGTGATTTTGCATTTTCCGGGTAGGGGGCATGCACAAGCTGCGCACGCCCTGCCTGCACCGCCATTTGCGGCGGTCAATCACTGGGTCCCAGCCGGCGATTTAACAAGGATCTCCGACAGGGAGGAGGGCTGCTTTGATTACTAACAGTCCTCCTCCCTGTTGGCTCGGACACACTGCTCTGGATGGCTGTGCACAGCAGTCATCTAGAGCAGTGTGATTACAGCAAAGCACACTGACACGGCCCCATAGTAAAACACTCCCAGCACACAGTTTACCCTTTGATCGCCCCTCATGTTAACTCCTCAGTGCCATTAGTACAGTGTCAGTGCTTTGTTTTTTAGCACTGATCACTGTATTGGTGTCATTGGGGATGTCAGTGACACCAAGTCAGTTCCCCCCAGTGTCAGAATGCCAGCTGCAGCCCCTCTATAAGTAGCTGATCACTGCCATTATTAGTAAAAAAAAAAAATAAATTCCAGTATCTATACTGTCATTTTGTAAACGCTATAACTTTCACGTAAACCAATTAATTTGCACGTATTGGGATTTTTTTTTTTTTTTTTTTTTTTTTAGCAAAGAATACATTTTGGCCTAAATTTATGGCAAAATTTGATTAGTTTTTTATTTTTTTTACTGGACATGTTTAGCAAAAAGTCAAATTTTTTTTTTTTTTTTCTAAAAATTTTCGGTGCAAAAAATAAAAAATGCACAGGCGATCAAATACCACCAAAAGAAAGCTCAATTTGTGGGGAAAAAGGACGTAAATTTAATTTGGGTGTAGCGTTGCATGATCGTGCAAAATGTCAGTTAAAGTACCGCCGTAACACAAAAAATGGCCTAGTCAGGAAGGGGGGGGGGGGGTAAATCCTCAGGAGGGCAAGTGGTTAATAAGTAACTTGATGATTAGGGGAAAGCGCAAAACAGCAGAGTGATGAGCTCACCAGACTACTGCTTCTCTGTCTGTCCAGTCAATGGCTGAGGAGAGGGACAATATCTGTAAGCTTTGCTGAATTGCAGCACACAAAAATCAGGTGGACAGACAGAAATACAAATGCTTTGGTAGGTTTAGCAGCTCCTTTTGTATTTAGGTGTTTGTTGTGAGTTAGCTTTAAAGTGGACCTTTTTAAAGTCATTGTAAAGGTTCTTAAAGAAGAAGAAAAAAAATATATAGCAAGCAACGTGCTATGGGGCACATGTGCAGATTCGATCCTGTGCTGGCTGTGTGCGTCTCTAGACACACACAGCCTGGCTTGGCCCGGCCCTCGCTCCTTCCTCTCATGATCTGACTAACAGCAGCAGGAACTAATGGCTCCCACTACTCTCACTATGAGAGCACGGAGTGGGGAGAGAAGACCGGTAGCCAGCCACAGCACTGGATAGATAACAGGACTCAGGTAAGTGTTAGGGAGGGGGGCTGGGGCACTGCTATTGGAAGGTTATTTACCTTAATGCAGAGAATGCATTAAGGTAACAAAAATTTGCCATTACAATCCCTTAAATAAAAAATTCACATATGACATGAATCAGTATAGTATGTGTTAGCACTGCCAAATCAAATAACAATTTTGATTTTAAAAAAGTACATCTTTATTGCCATTAATAAAACAATCTCTTCTCCCTTATGTGACTCAAATCTAAGCAACAGATTGTGTGTTTCTCAGTATTAGAGACTGAAGAAACAGACCCCGCAGACTTGCAGTGAGATAAGAGGATCAGCAACGTTTAAAAAATAGGAGCAGCCTTGTAACCATCAGTTATCTATTGATCATTTTACAGTGTATGTGAACCTCATATGAATGCCCATCTACCTTTTTCATATCCTTTATGATAAAAAAGATTGAATTAAAGGTATTCACATGAGTTTTAATTTCTGGTGGTTAAGAACAGGGTACACATCTGCTTGTAAAAGACTATATTACATTTATTACAAATTTATATTATAGATTTCCTCGGTTAGAGATTGAAATCCTAGGGTGTTCAGTAAAGTATTAGTGATTTGGTGCTATATGATCACTCCTTAGGTCTACCCTTTCCCACCAGCTTAATTTTTCTTCTGGCTTCTGTTGTTTGCCGACTGTCCCAAAGGAGTTATACTGCTACAGGGTGGCCAAGCTGCGCAAAATCTCGTATATAAATGTGACTCTGCACTTCCTGGTCGCGGGCGCGCTCATGCGCCGCTGGTGTGCTGCTTTTGCTGTGATTTGTCACAGCAGAAGCCAGTCAGTGGGTGCTGGCCAATGGATGAGCACTGGGACCTGCCGATCATCTAGGAGACTGAGAACACAGCTGTGCCTATGTAGACCAGGCAGAGCTGTGTCCTGTCAGCTACAATGTGCTTGATTTTCTTTCCCTGCAAAGAAGGTAATAAAATCCAGCACATTACATAGTGAAAGCAGCACACACAGTACTCATTACACTTATTTAGTCACACAGTTAACCCCTTGATTACCCTAGATGTTTAACCCCTTCCCAGTCTGTGTCATTGGTACAGTGTCCGTTCATTTGTTTAGCACTGATCACTGTATTAGTGTCATTGATTCCCACAGTGTCAGTTAGTGTCGGATTGTCCGCTGCAATATCGCAGTCCAACTATAAGTTGCTGATTGCCACCATTACTAGTTACTAGTGGTTAATCAGTTTTTGTATACTTGAGGAGCCCCTGTATCCTGGGTCCCTGCTATACAAATCCTCAGGAGGGCAAGTGGTTAAAAAAAAAAAATGCTAAATTTGAAAGTAGCGACCAATCAAGATTTGTTATTTATTCAATGCCAAATAATACTTCATAATTTCATTTATCTGTCCATTCAGAATATGGAGCACAATGAAGCTCAGCACAAAGAAGAAATGAAATTAATGACTGCTCAGTCAGAGGATCTCAGGCAGCGGGTGGAGCCAGAGAAAGAAGCTCTGAAGCGATCCGTTCGTGTCCAAAAACATCGGGCAGAAAGAAGTGAGGGGGAAGTGCAGCTGCTCAACACACAACTTATGGAGAAGGTGAGGCATAGGGGTATCATCGGTGTCATGGGGACAATGGTTCACATTGGTCATAGCAATTATTCAGAATGTTTTTTTATGAACGGTGGCCAAGTGAGCATTACAAGCTGTTTGATTGCTATGAAGAGCCAAAATTGTGTGCAAGGTCCCGATCATGTGATCACTGATTGGCCAATCAGTGATCACATGAAGAGTAAGTAAGCAAGATGTCTCTTCTGACATCATTGCTTACTACGTGTGAAATCTGTGAATGATCACAGAGGTCACATGGTACAAGGCTATTGACAACAGCCTTGTACCATGTGACAAGCTGTGACCAATCACAGCTCTCACAGTATTTCTCAATGGCTGTAAGAATGCAGCCAGAGAGAATGAGAAATGATTGCTTTTACAGCCTTTATGGGTGTAAAAGCAACCCGTGAAGAAAAAAAAAAATCTTCATAACCACCCACAAGTAGTACAGTGTCACCATGGTGACACTGTACTGCTAGGGTGACAGTATGTAAAAAAAAAAAAAAAAACTGTAAATAATAAAAAAAAAAAATGTAAAAAAAGATTTTAAATTATAATTTTTGGTTATAAACTAATTTTGGGTTTTTTTTTTTTTTTTTGTTTTTTTTTTTTAAAAAATAACCGAATACGTTTTGGCCAAGATTTATGAAGAAAGATTATTTATTTGCAAAATTTTATAAGAAAAACACTTTTTTTCAAAATTTTTGGACATTTTAATTTATATAGCAAAAAAAAATAAAAATCCCAGTGGTGAATAAATACCACCAAAATACAGCTTTATCTGTCTCAAAAAAATGCTAAAAAATTCATATGGGTACAGTGTTGCATGACAGGAAGGGGTAAAAGTGTCCGGACTTGAAGTGGTTAAATGGTCGTCTTCTGTGTTTGTACTTTTAACATGTTTAATTTTTTTAAGTTTAAAAAGTTTCAGGGCTTAAAAACTTCCAACTATTTCTTCCTGCCTGGTGTCTCAGTGGGCAGTTATCAAAATGCATATTTACTTAGTGATTCTAAACCTTTGGTATTTTGCAAAGAAAAAAAAAAAAAGCAAACATGTTATACTAACCAGCTCTGTGATGGGGTTTTGTACAGAGCAGCCTGATCCTCCCTTTCTGGGGTCCTGCTTTCTGAGAGCTCCTACCAGCAAACCTCTTGCTGGGGGGTTTACTCGTGTGGCTTGTTCCCAAGCCCTGCTGCCTGTGTCCATAGACACAGACGGCTGGGCTTTGTCCCACCCCCTGCACCATCATAGGATTTGATTAACAGCAGCCCATGGCTCCCGCTGCTGTTAATCTGTCCTGTGAGGAAGGAGACAGTGGAGAGAGACGCTGCTCTCATGCACAGTGCTGGATCGGGATCGGGCTCAGGTAAGTATGTGGGGGGCTGGGTGGGATCCTGGACACAGAAGGTTTTTTTTTTTTTTTTTACCTTAATGCAGAGAATGTATTAAGGTAAAAAAAAAAAACCTTAAAGCTGTAGAACCACTTTAAAAGCTAGTACAGATTTAGTGTTTTGGCACAGCAAGCTTGGGTTACAGAATGTCACTGTCTATACCCTGTATTGATATCACATTGTTAAAGTGATATTAATGGCAATTTTTTTTTTAAAATAACAAACATGTATTACTTACCTGCTCTGTGCAGTGGTATTGCACACAACAGCCCCAATTCGCCTCTTCTCGGGTCCCCTGCCAGAGCTCCTGGCCCTTCCTTCCTGCCAAGTGCCCCCAGAGCAAGCAGCTTGCTAGGTCTGTGATTGACTGTCTCATCCAATGAGAAGGGAAAGTCCCCGGAGAGCCGAGGCTCTCAAGCACATCGTTGGATCGTGATGGGACTCGACAGTAAGTATTAGAGGGGCTAGGGTGGCTGTTGCATACAGAATGTTTTTTACTTTCGTGCATAGAAGATATTCCTCACATAAAAATAAAATGGCTTTGGCTCAACATCTCAAACCCAAACAATTAAAATGTCAAGACAACATGTTATTTAGTTACTGACAGAGATCATTGACTGCACTAATGACCTTTATTGATTAAAATGAAAAAATAAGACACATAAACACACATACATAAACCCATTTAAAAGAATACTGTGGGTCAAAGGTCATCCTCATGGATCTAGTGGACTGAATAACATTGATATGCAACTGTTTCATTAGTAATCATATTATATCAATTAAACGGAGAGCTCTCAGAATAAACATAGAAAGTGAAAAAATAGAAAAGGTGGCAACTTGAAAAAATGCAGCTGCTACATTAATATTTCTCCCTCTCATGAGGTCCATTGCTCAGAATATATCCAAAATATGCTGAATCGATCATGGGACTCAAAAAATGATGCTGTAGTACAAACCAGAAAAGGTGCTGGTATAATGACATAGGAAAACAACCAGCTGGTAATTCCTGGACAGATTATATTTGAGCCATTCTGGATGGATATATGTGGTTGGGATGTCCCGGCCAGGGAGGAGGCAGCTGAATGTGATCCAAAGAGGAAAATGTAATGTGATGTGATGGCTCTCTTATCGGTGTATATCAGCCAATATATGTGTAAGCAGATACCTCCCTCACACACACAGGCGCTTGAGGTTTTTCTTTTGTTCCTAGTTAATTGGATTCAGCATATTTTGGATATAATTTGAGCATGTGTCTGGCAGGGGGGCTCACTGATGATATATGGAGCCCCTGTATTATACCTATGGGGGGGCCACACTGTTCCTCTTTGCTCTGATCACATATTTCTGGAAGGGGCCACATTGAGCATGTGTGGGGGCCACTGTGTTGTGCTGATCGTATGGAGGGGCCCCTGTACTGTACTGATCATATGGGGACCCCTGTACTGTACATATGTGCTGTGATATGAGGGTGTGTGCTGAGTGATATGGGGGGGGGACTGTGCTGTGTGATATTTGAGGATGTAATGCGTGATACTGGGAGATAGCTGTACCTCGTGAAATGTTGGGGGGCTGATTTGTGTGAGATGAGGGGGGGGCTATACTGTGTGGTATGGGGGGGCTGTACTGTGTGATACGGAGGGGGGGAGTTGTACTGCATGATATGGGCGGTGGGGTGGCTGTACTGTGTGATATGGCAGGGAGTATCTGTACTGCATGATATAGGGGGGTGTGGCTGTACTGTGTGATATGGAAGGGGGGTGAGCTGTACTGTAAGACATAGGGGGGTTGTGCTGCAGGGCTCGACAAAACCCAGGGCTTTTGTCAACCGTCAGCTGTCAGACACCAGGACGCCGCTCCACTGATCCAGGGATTTGAAATCTCTACGGCTTAATCGCTTATCCGAACCTCTCAGCATACGGACAAGAAGCATTCTAATTGGTCAGCACCATCACATGGACAGCGCTGACCAATCAGAATCTGTCTAGCCCATTCTGTCAGTGCTGGGAGGAGAGGAGAGAAAGCTGCGAGGATTTTCAAATCCCTGAACCAGTGAAGCAGCTTCCCGGTGTCTTCCCTTTCTTTACGTTCCTAGATTCAAAGCAAGTTTCAAAGCAAATTGGTCAAGCCCTAACTTAAGTGATTATGAAAAAATTTCTATCTATACATCTTGCAGACATTCGCTGAGGTCATTTGTACTGAGACTTCTTAAATATCTAAATTCTTCCATACCACACAGATGTTGTAATATAGTAAACGCAAAATAATTATTTATAATGTTGAACACATAATATCCAAAATATATACCAATATTTAGTAATTGTTAAAACCAACTAATATGGGGAAAATATATAAATATATATATATTTTTATATATATGATGGTAAATATAATAATATAAAACCCAGATTAGTTAAGTCAAGTATTCACTTTATATAATAATAATACAATTGACATTTTTTATTAAAATAATCCAGTAAAAAAAAATTGCACCATATGCAGTGTAAATTGTAATATGAACTGTTCATGGAAAAAAAAAAAAAAAAATCATTGTGAATAGTCCTTTGTCCTGTTTAATCTGAGACGTGGACTCCTCAATTGGTACATTGTTCAGTCGTTATATTGTGGGTGTCAGGTACAGCCATACCCCCCCAAAATGTACAACCTGGGAAAGTATGCTGTAAGAAACTAAGAATGTCTGCTGTTAGAATCTTTGTTCAGAAACCATGAAAATAGACTATAAACAATAAAATGGCTTCCAGCATGCCCATGATTAACGTTCAGGCCTTCTGGTTTCATTTTGTGAGCACAGAATAGTTCCAACAGATTCATGCCAACATTAAACCCAGACTGATCCTTTTAGACCTGGGATGAAACTACTGAATTTACTTTCACACAGAGCCCTCTTGCTCCTTAATTGTGCCTAACTGTTCATACTGGCTGTTTCCGTCTTTTTCTTTGTATGAGCCTCATGTGAAACTTGTATAATCTGTATGTTTAAAAATCACAATTAAAACTTTATGGGAAAATTTTTTTTAAATTTTCCAGTGATACACCTGTTCCTTTTTAAATGTATAAAGTTAATAAACATAAAATGTAAAACGGGTTGCAACCAGAACAGGAGATGAGGAGAAATCTTCCAATGGGGAAATACATTCATGTAACAACTCCCCAAGAGGGGATTCCCCTTGTTTTGGAGAGATTTCTTCTCACTACCCATTTTGTCTTCAGGAAGGCCCTTTCTGCAGATAATTCTCAGTTTATCTATAAGAATTTTTTTTCTTTCTTTTAACAGAATGCTGAACTTTCCGCTGCTTCGTCCAGCATGGAATCCCTGAAGAGCCGATTCAACATGCTAATGAAAGATAAGAGCCAGTTGGAGACTGAGGTTACCATACTGAATGAGTAAGTTGGATGGTTAATGTGCTAGCTGAGGGTTGGAGGAGTGTGGCAAATTTATGGGGGAACCTCTATAATGGAGAGTATACATTGCTATTTGCTTTCCATTATAAACTGTAATGTTAAATCACATTGTGATTTGATGTCCCATTCATAAAATGTAACCCACTTTGTGGAGCATGCAGTGTTTCACAGAGTTTTCTCTTCCTAACACCGCATAGAGCACTCCGTGATTAAAGGGGAGGTCAGGTCAACTGACTGAGCTCTTCCTCCGGAAGAAGAATAGGGCATGGGAGTCCCAAAGCCAGTGGAGCCCCAAGCATATTTGCACAGCATTATAAGAGTGCAGTATGTATGTGTGTGTATTTTTTATATACAGTTAGGTCCATATATATTTGGACACAGGCACAATTTTTTTTTTTTTCAGGTATTTACCAAAACATTTTCAAGCTATAGTTGTGTAATGGATATGGGCTGAAAGTGCACACTCTCAGGTTAAATTTGAGGGTATGTGCATCCAAATTGGCAGGGATTCTTATGAAGACATTTCACTGATCCTCTGACTAGCCAGGATCCTATGAAGCATTCCACTGATCTTTTGACTGTTCTGTCTCTCTAATCTAAGCATTGATAGTGTGATCTCTGTAACTTACAATTGTGATGAGATAGCGATAACTTCAACCTCAGTTGAATACCACAGTCAATGACTCAATCGATAAGACATCTTGTTCACTTGCTGAAGGCAAAACTAAAGGCAGAAAGACCCACCAACAAAAAAACAACTGAAGACAGCTGCAGTTAGAGCCTGGCAAAGCATCAGAAAGGAGGAAACCCAGTCTTTGGTAATGTCCATGGGTTCCAGACTTCAGGCAGTCATTTCCAGTAAAGGTTTCTCAACAAAATATTAAAAATGAACATTTTATTTGATCATATTCAATTGCCCAATTACTTTTGGTCCCTTGAAAAAGGGGGGATGGCTACTCTTAAGAGCTGTAATTCCTAAACCCTTCCTTCAATTTAGATATACATACCCTCAAGTTAAACCTGATAGTGTGCACTTTCAGCCCATATCCATTATATAACTATAGCTTGAATAGGTTTTGGTAAATACCTGAAAAAATCTAAAATTGTGCCTGTGTCCAAAAATATATATGTGAGAGAGAGAGAGAGAGAGAGACACCATATTATACTTGGGTGTTCTGTGTGAAGTAGCAATCCATTGCAATATTATTATGGTGAAATACTCTATAACTAATAACTTTGAACTGAAATGGGAAAAATTACAGCTATGTGTCTATTGAAGACATACCTATTAAAGATGTGCAAAAAGTCTGTTTTAATTCTATGACTAGTTGGCTTGGAGTCAGACTCCATTCTTATTGATAACTGCCTGGTGTATAGACTGCTCCATATACAGTATGCAGCATCACATTACATATATCCAAACAAAAAAGGTGCTTGGTGGATACTCTGGTTCCATTTAAGCTCTTTTGCACACTGCTGCCTAAAAACCAAGCATTTTTATACTGATCCAAAAAAAACTCATTATTTAGAACCACTAAAATTGTTTGCATATAGACGAGTAGAAACAAATTACAGAAATCTAAGTTGGCAGTCAGTATTCACTGCACGTATATGCAAATACACACGTGTGTATGTAAAATGTTCATTTAAAGAGGTTAGAATTACGAGAGCTGGAATTTATTTTACTTGTGTAAACACAAGTACCTGCAAAATAAATGCAATAAATATTGGGCAGGAATACTAATGTTCAAACATTAGTACCCTAAATATGCTTTTAAAGCATAACTTCAATACCAGTGTTACTATTGTTTTTACAACTACCAATACTGTTCCTGTCCCCGGGGAACAGCTAAATCTGGGTGATATGAGGATAGCCAATGGAAAATGACAATAGCTGGTGACCTATAAAAGGAAAATTAGTTTAATAAGAGTCTTGCATGATTTGTGGCTATCAATCACCCTCAGATTAAGATAGGAATTTATGTTCTTTTTGGAATACAATCACATGACAAAGGGCCTGCATTCATTTTAAATGATTTTAACTATGTCAGAATTTTCTGTAGGTTTGATTCAGTGGTATTTTAAAAAGGTATTTGGTTAAAAAATAGTGTGTGTGTGCGCGTGCAGAGTAAATACGTACGATATGTATGTGATATGAGTGCGATAAGGCTCTATAAATATTCCCCTATGTATATCATTATAACCTTTCTGTCTTCATTAGCCGAGTGGCCAAGCTGCTGGAGGAGAGTCAGAACCATGAAGACAAGACCCGATCTGAGCGGGACTCTCTCCTGGACAGACTTCACCAACAGACTATGGAGAACACCAGCCTTCGCCTGGAGCATGAGAAGCTTAAGGTTGCACCATATATCTTCTTTTCTCTGCATTTTTACCAAATCTGATGTTGTAAGGCACGACAGTACGATACAACTTTGTCACTGTTTTTTATTAGCTGTGTTGCTCTGTTACACCTGTATAGGCTTATAAAGGAAACCTTTACTGAGAAAATTTGAGAGTCACCTATTGTTGATCTCTTTCTAAAAAAAAAATCTGGTTGTCTAAAGATCCACCACTTCTGGGAGTATCAGATCCCTCTTTTTGTGGGCTTAAATGCTCTCCCTCCTTCCACAACACTGCTCAGTCTTCCCCTTTCCTGTGACAACACTGTATGGACACAAGATTGGACTGGCAACACTGAGGACAGTATTACTGCTTACTCATCCATGGCTGTAATTGCCTGTGTATAAAGTCTTACTACTACTGCCTCACTGTTAGCTCTGCTCCGGGCACATACAGCAGCTCTCACAGCTGACAGTGAAAAACAGAGTGCTGGCAGCAATACTATGGACCAGCATTATGCTTTTGTTTAAAGTCCTTGGCTACCACTGTATTGTATAAAGTGTGGACTTTAAGCATATTTTAGTGTGTGTCCATTACTTATTGATTTATTGTTTTCCCCTTTGTAGACTCATTTATCCACTGTGGAGGAGAAGCTGACAATGGCTCATAATGAAATTCAGCAGCTCAAGAATTCTCTGCGTCAGTATGAAGGTCTCGTTGATACCTATAAAGATCAGGTTTGTTGTGTTAATCTTTTCTGTGCATGTCCCTACCTTTTGATATTGGCTTTACCAGTTCCAGCTTTGCTATACAAAGAGAGCTGACTCTTGACAATGCTAGTTGCCTAGCTATTATGCCAGGGGCGGACTTGACAACTCATGGGGCCCCCGGGCAATAGGAGATCATGGGGCCCGTGTCCTTGCCCAAACTCAAAAAAGCCTATGATAAAGGTATCAGGGGCATCTCATGGGGCCCCCTACTGACCTCGGGCAGTGCCCGAGTTTCCAAATGGTCAGTCCACCCCTGTATTATGCTGAGCCATTGGCTTTAATAACTTGAGTCCGTGATCCAGAACAAGTATGCAGATCAAGAAAGTGAGAGAAAAGTTAGTGTACCTGTGTATCTGTTCTGGATCATAAATGCAAAAAACTGAAGTAAGAGGAAGAACATACTAATTAAGTGTTCATTAAAAAAAAAAAAAAAAAAAAAAAAAAAAAAAAAAGATTTTATTCCCTCTCGCTTTTCAGTGGAGAACTCTTAAAGCTGTCATCAGGGAAGTATTAATACAGCATGGATCCAGACTAAAGAAAAACAGGAAATCAGTAACACTTTGCATAAACTCCATAATATAGAGATTCTTCATAAAACCAACCTCTCTCCTAAGACTTTGGTGGAACTCTCAGCTACAAGATCCTACCTTATCGCTCAAAACAATTACTACTACTAATTTACCGAGTTCAAACATGTGAATAGTTCTACCATTTCAGAGCACAGTTGGCTCAATATTGAATAAACCTTTCCTTCTGCATATGTTCTTAGATGATAAAATATTTAAAGTGGAGCTCCACCCAAAAGCTTAAGTTCCGCTTTAAGGACTGGTCCCCTGCTCCCCTTGAGGAATTGGTATCTTTGGGGAGTGGGTACCAGATTTTGACAGGTACCTGCTCCCACTTCTGCTCTGACCTCCTAGGCAATCGGCAGAAGCTGTCCTGATGGTTTGCTAGGATTATTGTACAGATAGATATTCTTCCAGGATTCCTATACCCATTGCACACTGTACCCATAATCCCACCAACTCTTATTCTCCACAAAGCACAAATCACATTCTGCAGATTTATCTGGGCCTCTGGCCACTCCAGGATCTTCTCCAAACTTGAGATACAATCCACTTTTTGACAGCTTGGACTTTCTCCTACTGTTGTGAAACAACAGTTGCCATTTCCTGAAATTTTACATCTCTAGCCTGGACCAACCAGGACCACCATAGGCTACACACCATTCTGCATAATTGCAGGTTTCCCTCCATACCTACACTACAAAACACCCTTTCTACCCATGTCTTACCTTGGTTTAGATGTGGACAAATCCATTCCTTCGTTACTCCCCTTTTCACTGGGCAGTCCCTAAACCCTGTTTAAAGAACTCCTTCCAGGATTCTCGCCCAACTTGAGTAATTTCCTGTCTTTACAACATGCTTTTTCTAGACAACCACCCAAACACATCTTCCTACAAATAATGCTGGGAACAAGAATTACATTTAAATCTTTCTAGCAAAATGAGAGAAAATCATTCATTCTTTCTAGTAAGATCTCCCTATCATGTAAAGCACAGGAGAAGCATTTTAGGATATACATCAGTATCACTGCCAGCATTTCAGTCTGATTATGCCTCAATACACAAACTTTGGAATTCTTTTTAGTTTTGGGGAGTGACAATCTCCAACACCTCCACAATTACTTTACTCTTACTGACACCTGGCTCTGTAAGTTAGGCTAAAAAATACATCTTATGCCAAATCTTCACAGCAGCTAGAAGACACTGGCATGAAAGACCATCCATCATTCTCTGTATCTTACTGGGTTCAAGTAATAAACCTTTAAATTCATATGGGGCAACTAGTGGCAAGGGATGACAAATCACATTGAATGTTTTCATCCTATATAGGCCTCCTGTATATTGTTTAAATCACCATCAAGACTGACAGCTTACTTTCTTTAAGCCAGCCATAAATGGATCGAAATTGTGCCGGTTTAGCAGGAACCAGCTGAATTTCGATCAATGTATGTCCTGGCTGGTTGTACATAAGTCAATCTATCAATAGACTTGTGTACAACCAGCCTGTTGGGTTTTCCATGATTGGTCAGTGCTGCCGGCTATAGTTGGCTGTATTCTGATAGGGAAGGCTCCCTGCTGTCAAAATACAATACCAAAGCAGGCAGGATTACCTCATCCACAATAAATGTGTGGATGGGGAAACCGATACAATTTCTTTCAATCAAGCCACTGGTTGAATAAAGAAAATGCATAATGTGTGGGCTGCCTTAGTCTATTGAGCACAATCACCAACCTTTATAGGCTAATGGTGGTGGAATACCTCCCCTCCTGTTCCGCTCCCTCTGCTCTATCCCCTATTTTCTTTTCTAAATCTCTTTTCTACATTTTTCTATTAGGCCCCCCAGGCGGATCACTTAAAAATTAGGCTTTCCAACTTTTATTATTTAATACTGACCTAATCCAGTCTATTTAGGATAATGTGACACTTTTTTTCTACTTACCTTATATTACACTGCTAAAAATAGTACAATGTACATAATCTGTTTGGATTTCTTTTATTGTAACCCTTTCTGTTGTAAAATGTATTGGAAAAATTTAATAAATCAGAATATGCAAAAGAAAATAGTTTTCCTAAAACCATAGGGTGCAAGTTGACATTTACATTGAGTACAAAACCTGGCTGCACTCAGAGTAAACCAGGGCCATCTGAAAAGCATCATGGTCCCCTGGGTAAAGTAATGCACTGGGGCCCCTACCAGCTGCTCCAATTTACGCACCTGCTCTCAAGAATTGAAGTATAAATAGTTGACAAAACTAACCATATATTTATTAGTATGCTCAAAAAAAATGGTTTAAAAAAAAATAAGAAAACATGCCATAAATAAAGACTAATCAACACAAAGGGCACAGTACAGGGGTAGTGAGGTAGAAAGACACAGTACAGGGTGACCAAAGATCCATTATCTCCTGCGCTCAAGGACTCAGATCAAACAGGCGTTAGTGACAAGCAGCGTGTTGTGTATTCATCCACTGGTGATCAGAGGTTGTGCAGCTCTATCATGAAGCTGGGGAAGCTTAATAAAACTGTAGAGGAAGATGAAAGAAACCTTGCGCATTACCTCAATAAATAGTGACTAATTTTATTAATAAGGAAATATACTCACAAAATGATTGTATAACAGGCATAAGTAACCATAATCCAAACAGGGTTACAGGTAAATCAAAAAAGGGGGGGGTATGAAGGCTAACGCGTTTCGAAGGGTGCTCCCTTCTTCATCAGAGCTGGGTTTGGCAGATAGAAACTTCAGTATGGCAGAGTTCCCATGGCAAGGAGATATTCAGCCACTGAGTGTCAGTATTACAGCACTAAACAGGCTGAACTGCTGTAATACTGACACTCAGTGGCTGAATATCTCCTTGCCATGGGAACTCTGCCATACTGAAGTTTCTATCTGCCAAACCCAGCTCTAATGAAGAAGGGAGCACCCTTCGAAACGCGTTAGCCTTCATACCCCCCTTTTTTGATTTACCTGTAACCCTGTTTGGATTATGGTTACTTATGCCTGTTATACAATCATTTTGTGAGTACATTTCTTATTAATAAAATTAGTCACTATTTATTGAGGTAATGCGCAAGGTTTGTGCGTGCTTTCTTTCATCTTCCTCTACAGTACAGGGTGAGTCAGGGGGCACAATACTGGGATAAAGAGGACAGAGTCCTGGTTCTGGGACATTGCCCAGGCCATCCTAGGACAGCATAGTAAAAAGCGTTGCTGTCCTGGCATATCCAGGACAGTTGGCAAGATTATCATGGGGCCACCAAGCAGCTAAGGGGTGCCCATGCATTAAGACAGCCCTGCAGTAAACTAGTCCAAGAGGCAAGATACTCAAGGTGTACCCTTGTGATGGCTCAGACATTTCTGTGTAAAAAGAGAGCAGTCACAACCAGTAAATGTGAATCTCCAAAATGGGGACACAGACAGCTATGGAAAGTTTTTATAGCACTTCTAACGTTTTTAAAGTCTATCTTTAAAAGTCATTTTTTTTTTTTTTTTTAGTTGGCTTGTAATTGGTCCTTAAAATCAGAAGTGCATTCATGATTACTTTGAACAAACAATTAGAGGGCACATAATCTGTCCTCCAATAGATCCTCCATTAGAATCCATAAAGAATGGAGTTTGGCCATTGATCTGTGTTGAAGAAAACT